TAAATGCAACTATAAAATAAGCTGTCTTATGTAAATTGTAGAGCTTTTCATGCTGCATCTTGTGGTATGTTTTGTTTTTTGTTTAATAGAAGATATCAGGTAAAGCAAAGATGAAATAAGAATAAAATGAATTCGTCTTTTATCGAAAAAAATGTTGTTTTCGCAGCGTTGAAATTTGATTGCTCAGAAGTTTGTCGATTTTTTAACACAGAAAATGCAACGTTAAAATTAGTTGTCCTATATAAATTATAGAGCTTTTCACGCTGCATCTTCTGGTATATTGGGTGGGTGTGGGTGTTGACGGATCAAGAGAAAAATTAAACCCACACCCACACCGACCCACATCCACACATCCACACCTACACCAACACCTTCAACAGACGCGCTGCTGTTTGTTTGTGTATATACTAGGGGGGTCAAAATATTATTCCAGGGAGTAACGCTATGATTTCAAATAGCAACCATAACAAATTTTATACCAACTTAAAGTGCGTCAAAAACGGGATGTATCGGTATTAAACAGTAAGGGTTCTATCAGTCTTTTTATATTAAACTTAACAAATCTCTAGAAAATGAGTGCATAAAAATGGCTTTTCACATAAGTGATGCATTGATTTTAAACAGAGTAAATAGCAAATTTTATATCAAATGAATGCGCATCAAAAATGGGATTTATCGACATTAAATAGTATGGGTGCTGTCAATCTTTTTATATCAAATATAATAAATTACTAGAAATTTTCACTATTTTAGCATGAATAAATTTGTTTCATGAGGCAGTTCAAACTAAATCTGATTCAAAATCATGGTTTTCTATGGGATAATACTGCAGAAATTTCCAGTAATTTATTATTTTTGATATAAAAAGATTGACATCATCCTCACTATTTAATACCGATAAATCCCGTTTTTGATATGCTTTAATTTGGTATAAAATTTGTTACGGTTGCTATTTGAAATCATAGCGTTACCTCCCTTGAATAATATTTTTATCCACCTAGTACTTCTGAGAAAGAAATGTATTTGACTGAATTAATGTAACTATTAGAGAATAATCTAGTATTTTCGCTTTGCAGTGCGTACGTGATTTTTCACGATTCGAAAAAAATAGGCATATTAATTGAATTATTTAGATAACGGAGTGTGAATCAAAACTTAGTCAACTTCATTTTCTCTTTGTGCACAAATTGTAATCGAAAGATGATATATGTCTTGATATATGTATATATCTATCAATTACTCAGTCTTTTTCACTTTTTTCATCAGAATTAGGCAACAAACTCTACGTGTTATACTTCTACATCTTAGTTTCGTCGTTGTTTTCGATTTCTGTTCAGCAATAATAAAGTTTTTCGAAACCTTGTTACCATGTGGTATAATTCAGACAATTCGCTTTGAGAATCTGAATATGCATGCTATGAGAAATTCAACAAGAGAAACTGTTACGAAGTCACATTGTTCTACTCAATATGGCCTTAGAAATAAACCAAGAGGATCCGAAAGGATCCAAAAGGATCTATAGGAACTAAGAAAATCCATAGGATTCAGTAGAACCTAAGAGGATCTCTAGGATCCGATAGGATCTACAGGATCCGCCTTTTCTTCCGTGTCATTTTCTCTATCACCCTATAAAAGAAGAAAAATTCCTCGAGCCTTCTATAAGAAAATAAGGTACCTTCGACACTACTTTTGGATACGCCTAAGTAGTAATTGATAGAGAATGGAAGAGAGAACTCAAGAACCCTTTTATAATATTAAAAAAGACCTGAATACGGCAAGTATTCATTAGGTAATATATTTTGCCTGTCAATATAGACTACATCATTTAAGGTGTAAAAAGATATCCTGAACGTTGTGCCAACTCAGATATTAATTCTCATTTACTACAGAAAATGGAAAAATAGAAGCAAAGTCTATGCAAAATTTAGAATATTCGAATCTTACGGTTGATTTGCTTTTAAATATGGCATACGTTTCTAGGCTGATGATTTTTTAGTGTATGAAACTCTCTAATTATTTTTCAAAGGAGCACATTATACTTCATTTCCTTTCAAGACATTCTTGATTAGTTTCACAACAGGTGTATTTATTAATTTTAATTTGCATTTTCATGTTTTATTTCAATGCGATACGAATAATAAAAAATATAATACAACATCAATTAAGTATTAGTTTTTCCTATGATGAATGCTACGGTTGGTGTTATCTTATTTAGTCGACCAGTTTTTAGTTTCATTATAGAAGTTTTCAATGGTGGTGTGAGTTGCAATAAAGCAATGATCACACATGCTAATGAGATATATATTGCACTACAAGCAATTCGAAGATGATATTTTGGAGGACTAATAAAAAATGACATACAAATAAAGGTTGTATATGGAATACCAAGTACCACTAGAATCGTTACAAGTATAACTATACGTCGGAACATGTTTAATTCTCGTCGAGCACGAATTAATGTATTTGCAGGTGTTACAAGGTTACTTATATTTTTAACATATCGAACTAATTTGAAATAGACAAACATTATCAACGAAATGGGAATTATATAGATACAAAGTGCTACAAAAATCATTGGAAAGGAAAGTCCAAGAGATATTTGACAGATTTGGTTGTCAACATCATAAGTAATATTACCATTGGATATAAATCCGATAGGGTATACAAAACCAAAGGTCCACGTTACACAAATAAAGAATAATTGAAATTGAGTTGATTGAAAAATTAAATAATTTGGATAAACAACAATAACATATCGATAGATAGCTTGTGAAAGAAAAGAATAATTCATTACAGCACATGAAGCATAACTCAAATAGCCTCGAAATATACACATTGAATCTGGATACGGAATTTGTTGAAGATCATTATGTAATGTGAGAATAGTCATACCAAGTGAATTACTTGCACATATAAGTTTAGCTAAACATGAATTAGTAATTAACATCATTGGAACTGTATGACATGTTTTATCAATGAGAATAATTAGTAAAATAAGTATTGCAAGTCCAACGGTTAAAGCAGTAGACAGTATCGTCACAATATCCAACGGAATAAACCATGATTCGGTATTTATCGTAAGTGAGTTAGACATAAATATCAACGATGTTGAATTCATTGTTGAAAATAGATAGTATACAATGAATGAATGTTGAATTTTTTGTCTATTGAATAAGTGAAATACGTTATTTCTATTAAATAGCAACTATTTTTACAGAATGAAGATAATCTATTTTTTTTCTTCACTTAGACAGTGTAAAATCTCATCAAAAAAGGATAAATATAGTTTGTTTTACACAACACTGTTCTTGATTGTCAACTAATGAGATTTTGACTTATGTCATCAACAGATATTGAAGCAAAATAATGTATGATCTGTATTTGTCATTGTAGAATAATCGAGGGTGAGAGTGATGCAAAAGTTCTTGCACAAATGTCGCTCCATTTTCAATCACCTACACTAAAAATATTGAAAAACATTTAAAACTACTTTCATTTTGACTCAACTGTTATCATTATTGATCTCATTGAAGTTCTTTCTCTTTAGATAAACTTCTTAAAATTATTTTCAATCATAAAAAATGATTCTTTATTTTCTAAATTAATTCTCGATATTGCTATTTAAATATATTATTTTTCAAATGCATATTATTCTTAACTTGTACTCATAACAATATTTCGGAAAGAAAAAAGTAACATGTTGCTGTTCTTGAACAAGGAATCTTTATTTTCAAATATATTTTAAGTTAAAAGATCTTTTAACACAGATTTTAATCATGTTCCGCTTACACTGAATCCACATGCCAGTTATAGACTAATACTAAGGATAAGCTGCCGGAAATGTGTGAAATTCACTGAAAACCATAGTAAATAGTCAATATTTTTGTCTAAACAACTGCTGAATACATAACGAATCTATGTTTATATGGAAATCCTGCATAGAGAATTTTCTAATATTACTTTACTATAGTAAAACACATGCAAAGAATGCACTATGGAGGATATATGATCAATTGATGAATGAAGCATCCATCAAAATCCTATGGTTTTTCATGCGGACCCACGGTAGTGAGCCGCTCGAAGGTCGTACGAGCGTACAGAAATATTTACATCCTCAGAAACAACTTTTCAGCCGCTCTCGCGTAAACATGGTACATTTAATGTGAGTTTTGTCATAATATTTGTTAGGTAATATTAGTTGCTTAGTGAGATGTGTGGGTGATATGGTATGATTATATGTTCAGTGTCGTAAAAGTTTCATAGGTATTTATGATGTAGGATGGGATGGTTTGAATTTGTTGTGTTTGTTCTAGTAAAGTAGCTTGATGAATACTATCGATGCCATTACCGAATAGAAGTTCAGTTTTTTACTTTGTTGAGTTATGTTGTCTGTATGCTTCAGTTTCATCGCAGAGTTGGTTTTTTATAAGTAGAGAGTCGATATAAATTGCTATTCATTATGAAGAATTTTTCCTATTAGACAAATGAGTGATAATGATTATTGTAAGCCATTTATCTTTTTTTGAGGTCAATAAATCATCATCGTAAGTGCTATTGGAGGAGTTGAACCAACGGTTTTTTTTACTTCTACAGATTGAAATGATAGATGATTAGATCAAGTGTTTTACCTTTTTTATTCAAAAGAAACTTTAGAAAGTGTTCACACAATATGAGGTACATTCCCGCGAGGTATTTGTAAAACACGCGATAACCCACGAT